GAGATGGTAGAGGCCAACTGGCTTGTGTATACCTAGAATCAGAAGTGCCACTTGCATCATTTCATGTACTTTTGTACCAGAATTTAGTCATGTCATTTCAATCCAGTGGTTAGGAAATGTGGCCTTTCTGTGTTCCCAGAAAGAAAGCAAGGTGTGATGAACCTAGCATTGTGTCAGCTATAGTGTGCAAAGCGTGAAGTAGCCAGAAGATTCATCTTAGCATGATTCTGTTGTGAGTACATAGAAAAGGCTGGGAACAAGGACAAGACTAAATGCCCTTTAGAGGAGTATTACAGAAAGAAAGAATAATGGAGTCTGAGAAGAGCGTAGATGCTAATTAGAACTGTCAGTCAAGTGCAAGAAGTCAAGTTACAATTTTAAACTTCATTGGTGAATATTGGGTGACAGATTAGCAATGTTGGGGGAAGACATGAGAAAAGTGTATTGATGCTAGTCTAAGTAGACCAGGTTATAGCTGGTATCCACTGTTATAATCAGGGAAGGTACCACCATGAAGAAGAGTAAGTTATACATGCAAGATCAGCACTTTCAAATGTCCAGGAGAAAGGTTCTGCTGTCTCCTAAGCTTTACTGGTAGAATCACCAGTGAGAGGTACAAAGATTCAGACAAATTGGTCAAAGAAGATTCTACACACAATTTTCCTCTGGGATACAGTAAATGATGATGGCATGGTGATGACTTTTTCAGGTGATGACCTTTTCTCAGACACACAATGGCTTTATTTTTAAGGATGATAACACTAGGTCCTTGATTTACTGTTGGGTAGGAGATGGTAAAAATAGGAAAAGGGGTATAATATACACAGACACACCCACATTTTCATAGTAATTAAATGTTTTATATATGAGGAAAATGACTACCAAGGGATGAACCCAGTAGATGATCTACTTTATCGGTAATACAATTTGAACACTTGTACATTGGGTTATTTCTTGATGGTGAGCTGTAAATAGATGCAATGATATAAAATGCTTTCCTTTGTATAAGTCACAATAACTTAAACCTCTTCCTTATACACCTTGTTTGTCCAAATGGCCAATTGACTGACTTACCTAATGCTTGTAAGACATTTCACAGGGCACTAAATGCAGACTTCATGATCCTGACCTTATGAATTAGACTTAAGAGCTAGTTTATAAGAGCTAGTTTATTGATTCTTGATTGCTACTGTCAAAAGTTTTGTTTTTATCTCTCACCCTCCTCAGGCACTTAACTAATGCTTTTTTTTTTTCCTTCGTGTATTTTTTTTTTGAGCTTTTAAAACAGTTTTATTGAAATAAAATATAAGGCGCGAAAACTTTGCATAGAGTACAGAATTTGTTTTACTATATTCATGTATCAGTGAAACCATACCCACTACTGTTTTTGATGAGAGAAACCTTTTACTGTTCCCTCTGCAGTCCCAACTCCCAGCTCCACCAACGACTGCTGCTGTGACATAAAATAAGAAGCTGAAAATTTTATTTTTAAACAATGTTCCGTGGAACAAAGGAATCTTCAAGTTGAAAATAGTACAATAGAGACCGTTACCAACCTTTTGCAGCAACTGTATTCTGTGAGAGGATAGACAAAAGAAGATGCAGTTCTTAAGAAGAACATGTGACCCCCTAAGAGTATAAAGGCTCCTGGATACAGAGAATGAGAAACTGCCCAGCCCAAAGTGCTCTCTTCTCCTGTTTCAGAGGTAGAAACCCAGCCCACCATTCTTTATTGTGAGCATTTTTAAGGTACCAGAATGATGTTACCATACATTTTGATGCTTGTGACACTTTATACATGAATTCATATGTCCGATATTGTATTAAGAATATGAAAACGAAGACAGTGTCCTTGACTGCCAAAGTCATCTTCATATTTATCTCTTAATGGCTATTCTATTTCAGAGTGTTGTAAGAGTGAGCAAGAGAAATATAAAATAGAAATTTTGGACGCCTCTAAGTATTTCTGGGGATAAAGGTAATTTTAAAAAGCTAAATAATATGCTCTTCAATATTATGTAATTTTCTAATTATAGTGCTGGACTTCAAGGTAAAACTCAGTGCTTATATTATATTGCTCTTTGAAACATTTTAATACAAAAGTAGGTAATTCTACAATATATGAAAATAAATACTAATATAATTAAGGAAGCTACTGAAATGTTTTCAAGAGCATTCATTCTGTCAATCAATTCAGCCATCATATATGTTTATGAATGAGAGCTTTCTATCACTTAATACATTTTAAATAGTTGATACAAGAGATAAAAGCTAATTACATAATACCAGGCTCACATCCTAGGCATTTCCAACTGAAGAACCAGGTTCTGAATCAGACACAAAGATTAGCAGATAGTCCCGGAATGTAGCTATCACAGAGACTATCCACAACAAGTGAAAACAATACCCCTACAGTGCTATCCTCCCATTTTGTCATCTCATATCAATTTTAATACCTTATGTCTCATCAGAGAGTGGTTATACTCTGACATGTTCCCTCTTGGTGCAAGATGGCAGCTACTAAAATATAAATCACTGCAGAGAATTGCTGGATTTAGAGCCAATTCTTCTAATCGAAAATAACAGCAATGTTAATTTCAGCTGGAGAATGATGGCTTTTGTATGGTGATATAATGGTACAGGCGCTAATGGTGTCAACTACTGCAATAAAATATGCTTCAAATGGGCTACCTTTTTTACATTTAGACCAGAGTGACTTCTGTCACATTTCTTTTTTTGGCATGAAACTGACAATCTATTAAATAAATATTAATCCCTAGCAGTCTTCAAAGCAGGCTCAACCATATCAGGATTTTAAATAACTTCATTAATTGCTTAACTACCTTTTCCCCAAATTCCTAAGGGATCCTTCCATGCTAGTCACTTTAATGAGTTAGCGAGTGATTCATGACTTCAACCTGTTATCATGCAAAATACATTTCCAGTTGGAAATCTTTACAGACAGGTTTGCCAGAAAGTAACTAACCTCTTTAGACTTTAAAGAGGGCAAATGCCATTTATGCAGTGCATGAGGAAGAATTATTTGGCTCTTTTTCTTTTATGTTAGTACTCTAAAATATCATGTGAACAAAAATTTATGCTTGATCAAGTAAAGGGAATCTCTTTGAGTGGTAAAAGACAATCTGGATAGATTATCTGTGGCTAAATTATACAGGACACATTTTTTTACTATATACTGGATAGTCTTTGCTTTCCTGTAAGTTTTATATCACTTCATTTCTCCCAATGTATTCATGGAAAACACAAATTTGTAAATCAATCTAGACAAAACATAATTGATAAGGTAACTTTCAAAGGACAAGAAGAAATTATTTTTAGAAATCCATTGTTTTTCAAAAGTTGTTTGTTTCTCCACTTAAATGGGAATCAAACATAAAGATAGTTGTTTTTCAACAAAATATATTTAAATTATTCTAAGGTGTATGCATACTTTGTAAAAGTACTGTAAAGTTAATGGGCATCATTTCTAATAGTCTTCTATTCTCTGTTGCAGACCAGACTGACTGCTTTCTCTGACTGCTGTAGATCCACACATTAAGATATCCTTTGGCCTCAGTCCTGGTGTTGAAGCACCCATCTCTAATGTTCTGCTAGTTCAAGAGGAAAAGAGGGCTAGAAAAAAGTATATAGACTCTTTTATTTTAAATCTTTTTTTTTTTTAAAGGAAAATGTCTCTGAGTCTAAGACCTCTCTAGAGAGTAAACCTTCTATTTTCTGGAAAGATAATTGAGGTATAGTTGCTTACCTCTCATAATCCTATGGGATTTTTTGTTTGTTTATTTTTAGGTTTCTGTCTTAAGGCATGCACACTAGCTGATGAGTAGAGAGACAGAGAGAAAGAAAGTAAGAAATCACCCCAAAGAAGTGAAGACCACCGCAAATCCTTCTCCTTTTAGGATTTTGGGTGAACATCACACGTACTTGATATGATTTTCAAGCTGCAGGTCCAGGACTTGAACCACGGTTGGCCTTGTGGGAGTCTAGCGATTTAACTACCACGCAACCTGCTGGCCCCATAATTCTACTGTTTTTAACCCTACACTTTACTCTCACTTTCAGTATCTGGTGCCTCTAATTCTTAGGCTTTTCTGGGGCCTTTGAGGCATGAATGAATTCACTTTCTTTAGACCTACACATTTCAGTTTTCCATCTTCCCAACATTTTTTGACATTGGCTCCTCATTTTTTTGTTTTTTTTTTCTTTGTTCTTGTAGGTGATGATGATAATAATTTTACTATCATTTTAGTAGTAGTAAGGAAAGGAGCAGTGGTAAACATTTGTTCAGTCCACCATTTTAATTAGATGTCGACTGTATTTTCAAGCATTTTATTCAGGAATTTGGGCAATCAACAAGTAGTAGGTCTAATAGGAATAGAAAAAATGATCTAATCTGGGTCAGCTCCATAGTGCAGCAGTAATGTGTTGCTCCAGAGAAGCCAGATACCACATGAGAAGTGTAGTTTAAATCCCTGGCCTAGTTAGCCAGGCACATATGTGCAGTAGTCCCCAAGATCTGACATGGTGGTGTATTGGAGGAGAGGGAACTCAGTACGAGCAGACACTGTGAAAGATAGATCTCTCTCTCTCTCTCTCTCTCTCTCCCTCTTTTTCTCTCTCTCTGATGCATACACATGTTCTATCATGAATAAAGACAAAAAGAAGAAAGAAAACAAAAAAAGAAAATCTAAATATAATAATAACACCTAAGTTTTTAAACATTTTCCAGTCATCTTTTAAAAAGTTTCCTATTCATTTATTTCTTCAATGAGAGAGAGAGAGAGAGAGAGAAACAGGCATTCCAATAGGGTCCTCACGCATCAGTCCTCCCCGAGTTTCAGCCAGCCTGGATCATGGACATATATAGTGTGCTCAGGGAGGTCCTAGTATGCCAACCCAGGACCTTTTCCACCTGGGTCCAGTCGTGTTTCTTTTGTGCTACTGCCTGGTACTGGTTTCAGTCATTTTAAATCCTCGTTCCTCAGAGCCATAAAGACTCCACAAAACTTCCCTGGGGAGCTACCAAAGTAAAGGAAGAAATAGAGACTGCTAATGGGTGCGATTGTGGGGCCCCTTCTTACACCCTAAACCTAGGAAACGTCATTTTGTGTTCAGATTTTGTATGTAATACATGATTTTAATTAAACAGAGAGTTTAGAGTACAAAATATCAGAACAAGTTTACATCAAAATACAATTAAATGTATACTATTTAGATCTTTTCAGAATGAGTGGCTGAGCTGTGAGATGTGATGACCCTTTGTGACAATTTAAGTTCTGAAACATTCACTTTGTTTTCCTTGATATTACTTACGTATAGGCCTAAGGCTAGGTTCCTATGTCATAGTCCTGTTGGAAATAGATGCCCCTCATGCCTTTGAAAGCTGCTGAAGGACACAAAGTTCCGGAGACTGCTGAGTAGCTCTCATTTTGTGGTTTTCATTTTCTTGGCTTTCATTTTTCTTTTCCTTTTTTTTTTCTTCATTTATTTCTTTTTCTTTTATTTATTATTTTTCCCTCTTTTTTTTTCCTCTCATCTTCTTTAGTATTTTAACAACTTACCCAGAAATTTATTTTCTTTATATTAACTTTTCAATCTATTCAGATGTCACAGGCAAATCCTTCATTTATTCCTTTTGTAAACTGTCAGTCTACACAATAAACATCAGATCACTGTTTCAGTGCTTCTGCATACTGAACCACTAAAAATTGCCATACTTTCCCTTTTCTTAGAGAATAAATGAGGAAATAATTGTATGGTTTCTCTATAGTTCCTATAGAACTGAGCCATTTCATAAAATGCCTGATATGTAAAGTCTCCGGAGCCTTTGAAATTTTGAAGAAGAGTATCTGTAGACCTTGGAATAGGATAAAATTCTGAATTAGCAGAGGCATTAATGAAGCTTTGCTCTGAGCTCCTCTTCAAGAGGAGAAGCACACATACCAATTTGCCATATTCATAACTATTATAATACGATCACATGATGTTTGCTATTTTCCTTTTCAGAGAAATATAAATAAATTATAAGAGAAAATTATAAGTATTGACAAGAGGCACCTCCCAACAAGCAAGGTGTTCACTGATATTTTACAACAAATTTTACCCGTAGATTCTTCATTCCTAGATGACTTTATTCCTCCCAAACAAATATTGCCGATAGAAGTTCTAGAATAAAAATATATGCATTTTTCCCCTAAGCACATAATTCTTCCATGACATTAGAGCTTGCTGCCAGGTTAAGTCTTAGTCAGATAATACTGATGACCTTGCTGCTACTGCAGCCTTCCCAGTACTATTGCAGACTCAGGAGCGAGTCAAGATCGTTTAGTTGCAGTGTCCTTTCTGCCTGCTTTTTTGTTTTTCATTTGGGATGGACAATAATGGATACCTTTCCCCTCAGATATTGTGTATTTTAATAAACTAGATTATTTATTAAAACTCAAGTTGCAAAGCATTCTTTTCTTCTCTTTTTGAGAAATTTTTGCTATAGGGCACATGTGCTCACCAGAGAGGCAGAGAGAGAGAGAGAGAGAGAGAGAGACAGAGAACAGAAAGTGAGATATAACCCCAGGGGGCTGGGGGTGAGAGAGAGACAGAGAACAGAAAGTGAGAAATAACCCTGGGGGGCTGGGGGTAGGATGACCACACTGCAATCTATTGTTCTCCATTCTCCTCTTGGGATCTTCGGTTTGCATGCACATACACCAGACATGAGTTTTAAGCCAGCAGGTCTGGGATTCGAACCATAGTCAACTACATGGGAGTTCAGCAATGTAACCTTTATGTTAACTGTTAGGTTTTATCATACTGCTGATATCAAAGCATTATTTTCTTAATCAGATAGCATAATTTAAAAAAATAATTCAGATAACAAATAATTCAAATAATTCAGTAGGCAAGGACAATGAGTCTGAAATGAATCAGTATTACTTACGTATAGGCCTAAGGCTAGGTTCCTATGTCATAGTCCTGTTGGAAATAGATGCCCCTCATGCCTTTGAAAGCTGCTGAAGGACACAAAGTTCCGGAGACTGCTGAGTAGCTCTCATTTTGTGGTTTTCATTTTCTTGGCTTTCATTTTTCTTTTCCTTTTTTTTTTCTTCATTTATTTCTTTTTCTTTTATTTATTATTTTTCCCTCTTTTTTTTTCCTCTCATCTTCTTTAGTATTTTAACAACTTACCCAGAAATTTATTTTCTTTATATTAACTTTTCAATCTATTCAGATGTCACAGGCAAATCCTTCATTTATTCCTTTTGTAAACTGTCAGTCTACACAATAAACATCAGATCACTGTTTCAGTGCTTCTGCATACTGAACCACTAAAAATTGCCATACTTTCCCTTTTCTTAGAGAATAAATGAGGAAATAATTGTATGGTTTCTCTATAGTTCCTATAGAACTGAGCCATTTCATAAAATGCCTGATATGTAAAGTCTCCGGAGCCTTTGAAATTTTGAAGAAGAGTATCTGTAGACCTTGGAATAGGATAAAATTCTGAATTAGCAGAGGCATTAATGAAGCTTTGCTCTGAGCTCCTCTTCAAGAGGAGAAGCACACATACCAATTTGCCATATTCATAACTATTATAATACGATCACATGATGTTTGCTATTTTCCTTTTCAGAGAAATATAAATAAATTATAAGAGAAAATTATAAGTATTGACAAGAGGCACCTCCCAACAAGCAAGGTGTTCACTGATATTTTACAACAAATTTTACCCGTAGATTCTTCATTCCTAGATGACTTTATTCCTCCCAAACAAATATTGCCGATAGAAGTTCTAGAATAAAAATATATGCATTTTTCCCCTAAGCACATAATTCTTCCATGACATTAGAGCTTGCTGCCAGGTTAAGTCTTAGTCAGATAATACTGATGACCTTGCTGCTACTGCAGCCTTCCCAGTACTATTGCAGACTCAGGAGCGAGTCAAGATCGTTTAGTTGCAGTGTCCTTTCTGCCTGCTTTTTTGTTTTTCATTTGGGATGGACAATAATGGATACCTTTCCCCTCAGATATTGTGTATTTTAATAAACTAGATTATTTATTAAAACTCAAGTTGCAAAGCATTCTTTTCTTCTCTTTTTGAGAAATTTTTGCTATAGGGCACATGTGCTCACCAGAGAGGCAGAGAGAGAGAGAGAGAGAGAGAGAGAGACAGAGAACAGAAAGTGAGAAATAACCCTGGGGGGCTGGGGGTAGGATGACCACACTGCAATCTATTGTTCTCCATTCTCCTCTTGGGATCTTCGGTTTGCATGCACATACACCAGACATGAGTTTTAAGCCAGCAGGTCTGGGATTCGAACCATAGTCAACTACATGGGAGTTCAGCAATGTAACCTTTATGTTAACTGTTAGGTTTTATCATACTGCTGATATCAAAGCATTATTTTCTTAATCAGATAGCATAATTTAAAAAAATAATTCAGATAACAAATAATTCAAATAATTCAGTAGGCAAGGACAATGAGTCTGAAATGAATCAGTTTGAACACAATTCATATTTATAACTGATGTCAAAGCACAGTGAAATATGA